GCCTTAACCACCATGCCATCTGCTGGTCCCCTATTTTGTTGCTTTTTAAAGAGAGTTTATTTACCAAGAGAGGAAAGGAGGGAAGGAGAGGTAATCTTGATAGGATTTCACCTTGCTGCAGTCCTTCAACCCAGTCAGGATAATAGGCATGTGCTGGGACACCTGGAATGTTCTGGTTGATCCGGAATCCAAACCCTGACCTCCCATGTGGCTCTAGTACCGTGCAGTGTCACTGCTCCGTGTACTACTGTGCTGTTTCCGTTTTTAAAGTAACTTGCCTAGACTAAATCTGGGGAATCTCTTCTCACTTGGGGTGTGGCTGCTGATGTTGCCTTCCAGTTCTTATTGTTGGTGTTTCTAATAACATTTTTAAAAAAGTTTTAAATCTGGTTTTCTGGAGTCATCCCTGTATCTCTTAGTTTAGTGGTCAGTCAGTGATTGATCAGAAGTTTTGCTAAATAAATCTTGAGCTAGTAAAGCTTCCACCTTTTGCCTAAAGGTAGGAATGGATAGTATTTTTTTCTGTTGTAGTGAGTAAATAGATTCAGGTCTTTGTTTAAAGGGAATTTTCCTATATATTTTATGTGAATAATTTTTCTGTTTCCTTTATTGAATCCTATAATTGAGTTCCTGTATTGATTTCCAGATGTGTGTATTGGAGAACCCCCTCAGAGTTCAGACATTTAAAAAACCTGCTGTAACTTTTACTTACCACTAGGCCCTTTGCATCTTTTCTGCCTCTCTATGCAGATTTACGGCCAACCTGGGATGTTTGGATAGTTTAGACCCTTCTAGTGTCTCCACCTGGAATGTATGGACTACTTGTCAAGGTTCTCTGCAGTCTCCAAATCTCCCTTTTACATCTCTGTCTAGCCTCCTGGTCCGTTGCTTGCACTAATACGACAGCAGCCTCAGGCTTGCTTGTTTACCACCAAGAACACAAACTGTTCCTGACACTGCCCGTGGATGTGGGATTTTTCTGTGCTTTGCTTCAAATCAAATCAGCATACCCTGTCGGTGATGCTGCTGGTTTTCATGGTTTCCCCACCCACGTGGTCTACTTTTCCCACTGTCCTGGCAGTGTATCATGGGAACAGCCCCAGACTCCTGCTGTTTTTACCCTAAGTTCAGTAGTTCTTTGTGAATAACCACAGAGAAGGTAGCATTCGAGAAAACAAATAAACAGAAGAGGTGAGGAAATATTCCATGTAGCTATCTAGGGAAAGGACATTCTTGGCAGAGGGAATACCTGAAGGACCCTAGGCTGAGACGATATCTTGGGTGTAAAAGAGATCATAGAGGGGCCAGTGTGGCACCAGTAGATTTCCTAGGGGCAAGGGTGTAGTAAGTGAAGTCAGAGAAGGAAAGGGAAGATGGAGCAGGACCTTAGAACAGGAAAGTTTGTTTAGGCCACTCTAAGGACTTTGTTGGTATGTGTTTATGTGCACACATGCACCCAAAGGCTTATGTGCTCTCCAGAGAGAGACAGAAAAACAGAGAGGGAGAGGAGAAAGTACCCTGCCTTGGAGAATGGTTACACCACAATCCCTTCTCCTCTGTGACTTCCGTCTTTCATGATTTTTGGGCAGCCGTGAACATATTACGGCCTCTTTCTCAGGCTTCCAGATCTGGGGCTCAAATTCATGCTGTTGACCATGTGGGATCTAGCTGCCTTAACCATCAGACCTTGAAGCTCGCCCAGGACTTTGGTTTTTATTTAGAATGATTAAATGGGAAGCTGCTGCAAGGCTTTGAACTGCAGAATTGGGACATAATCTATTGGGTCATCAGAAAAGTGATAACAGATTTTTACATAGAAAAACAGAAAAATTATGCCATGACTTTTCAGACAACCCGATATCTTACAATTTAAAAAGCAACCACAGTGAAGTAAAAGCCAGAGTGTGGCAGAATTGGAGACTTAGGATGCCAGTACTTAGGCTATCATGGCCCCAATTACAGCAGTGTAGGTGAGAGGTCAGTGTGCCTTAGACAAGGGTGGTAGCAGCAGAGGTGGCGAGAGGGCGATCAAATCTGGATCCATTTTAAAGATACAGACAGATAGGTTTCTTCTTTTGTGGAGAGTGAATAGATTCAGATCTTTGTTTCAAAGGAATTTTCCATGAATTCCTTTTCTGTTCCCTTTATTGAATCCTTTAATTGCGTCCCTATATTGATTTCAGTTTTCCTTTGATTGGACCATTTTCATGCTCTAACATTATCTTCTAATTTCTTTAAATCTTTTAGTTTTTGTTATTTTATTCGTGATGGAGTGTGCATGCATCCCCGTGAGAGAAGGAGGGGACACCATCATGCCATGATCCCCTCCCTTGACCACCAGCTCCTCAGGATCTCGGACATGCATGCACACCTGGTGTGTTTCAGGTCAGATGGGCCAGGGATCTGAACTGTGATCAGCCATGTGGCTTTCAGCACTGCAGTCCAGCATGTTACCAACTGTACCAGAGTCTGGCCTTTTTTCCCTCCCCTGCTAAAGGCTTTTGTTGTTCCATTCATTCTATTTTCATCTGCATCTATTCTGTTTCTTGCTATTTCAGACTTATTGGACTGTGTTGGTGGTTTTTGTCCCAGTTTTAAAATTTTTTAAAGACTTTGCAATCTGCTTTCTTTTTATTCTATTTTTATAATTTATTTTCTAGCTTTAATTTTATTGAATTCTTATTTGTAATATTCAAATAAGTATTTAAGAGGGAATTTGCTTCCCATTTGGGGGGTTATTTGCTTTCCAGATTGGTTTTTCATCTGTTACATGATAATTCCTTCTCTGTCATTGTCTCTGTTTTGCCGTAGGATATTTGATAGTTGCTATTTATTTTTTATTGATCTTCTTTATGTTTTACATGGATAGCTCTATTTATAGCTTTTGTTCCTAGCTATAAAGAATAGTATCAAATGTCTTTGATAGGTTTTTTAGTCTTGTTTTGTAACTGTCACATCCTTTCCTTATCATCAAGTATGGTTTATGGCTTGTTACTTTTATCCTCTTTTATTTTTATAATTTAAAATGTCCTATAGGGTGCATATACTTGCCAGACAGAGACAAAGAGGGAAAGTGAGAGAGGTACTTCTCATGGGAGAGGGCCCTGCCACAATCCCTTCTTTTCTATTCTCCTCTGAGGATTTTAGCGTGCGTGCGCGTGCACACACACACACACACACACACACACACATCTCAAGCTGCTGAATCTGGGACTCAAACTGTTCAGTTAGCCCTGTGGGACCCAGCTGCCTTAACCACTATGCCACCAGCTGGCCCTCATCCTCTTTTATTTAAAGTGAGGATGTGAGGGTTGAGAAGGGTATGCCTTTGAAGAGTCCAGTTGGTTGATCATAATTCTCCTTTCTTCTAAAATCTCATTAAATATTCACTGTCATAACCTCTCTATCCAGTGGTACATTTCATAGGCTTTGCCTGGGTCTCCCAACTTGGCTCAGTGTTCTAGAAGATGGTAAGTCTTAAGTTTATCTAGCCTTTCCTGAGGTTCCATTGGAGGTCCCATTTATGGAAGCTCTTTCTCTTGGTGGATTATTTTTTTTTAAAAAACTTGCCCATGATTACCTACTTAGCCCTTCATTTTCTTCTTTTCATGCTGGGAAGTATTTCATATAAGGCCACTTTGCTTTCCTTCTTACATGCATTGGGTAAAGTATTTCTATCAAACACCCAGGTGTAAGAGTTCTATGATGCTCACCATGTTTCTAAATTGCCAGAAATCTTGTGTGCTCACGGGGTGGGATCCCCAATGAGGCACAGTCATGCCACAACCCCTTCTCCTTTATTTCTCTCTCCTACCAGGATTTTGAATATACACATACATGTGCCTAGCAGTTTTCAAGCTGCTAGGGTCAGTTTGAACTGTGGTCAGCCATTTGATATCTTTCTCCCTAGGCCACAAGCCCAGCCCAACTCAACATGCCTTCTTTACCTAGATATCTAGGACATATATCTTTAAAATGATTAGTAATGTGGGACCAGCAGGTGGCATTGTGGTTAAGGTGCTGGACACTCCCATATTGCCGACCACAGTTCGAGTCCCGGACCTGGCAGCTTCCTTTCTCCCTTTCTCTCTCTCTCTCTCTCTCTCTTTCTGTGTCTCTCTCTGGTCAAGTTAAAATAAATGAATGAATAAATAAAATTAAATAAATAATAAGTTTTTAAAAATGATTAGTTATGTGAGGGGAAAAAAATTATATCTTTATAGCTTAGGGAAGCTTCCTACAGTATCAACTAGCACACAATTTGATGTTTTTGATTTTCCTTATTAAAATTTCTTTATGCTCCCCCACCCTCACACCTTCTAAGTCTCTTGCATCTATATTTGAGTCGGGAAACCTGGGGAGAAGTTAAAGGAAATTCTAGAAGAAAAGGAAGAATCTTTGATTTAGGCAGGAAGATCAGCTATTAAGAAAGATCTTAGGGAGCAATAAGGTAGTATTTTAGTTTGTGAGGCAGAGGTGGGATAAGATATTTGAGACAGATGCAAGAGATAAGATTAGCAAAATGTTTTTTTTTTTTCTTTTGAATTGCTGGGATTCCAGACACATCCACCACATCTGGGCTTTAGGTGGGTCTGGGAATTGAACCTGGGCTTCCCAAGTGGTTCCAGTCTGTGAAAGATAGCATCTTGGCAGCTCCTGCCACCATGCTGGGCCAGAAGATAAATAACTGCTTTGCAACAGCTGCATTTTTTTAGAGTACTTTTTATGTTAGTTTTGCATAGAGCAGTACAAAATAAATAACCTATGGATATCTCTTAGAAAATTTGTGCACATAGTCATTGCAGTAATGGTAAATGTGTATTTGTGTTTTTCCTTCTAGACTCTCCCTGGAAAAAGAGACATGAATGTCTGTCATGATACTTCCTGACGAGAAATTGATACAAGAGAAGGAAAGATCAGCAGCTAGCAAGCAGAATCTCGAACAAGGAGGATTTTGTATATTTCACTTCCAACTGCAGTCTTCTGTTACCTACTTTTAAATCAAAGATACCTACACTCACAACCCAGAGGAGGGAAAAGGATACTTTTCTTCTGAGTTTTTTGAGAGCCAAGAAACTGCAATGTCTAGGAAACAAAGCCAAAAAGGTAAGATTACACGTGGGCATAAAGCATAGTTAAAAGCATAGTTGTAGAACAACCCTCATTTATATCTATTTAAAAGTTGTTCTTTTTTTGTTTTTAATTTGTTATAGGGCATGTATGCTCACCAAAAAGAGACAGAGGCAGAGAGAGTGACAGAGAGAAAGAGGGGAGGAAAGTAAGAAATCACCCGCCAGGGAGAATGGCCACATTGCAGTCCCTTCTCCTCCATTCTTCTCTCAGGATTTTGGGCACATATGCACATGTTCCTGGCATGTTTCTCAAGCTACTAGGTCCAGTATTCGAATGTATGCAATCAGCCATGTGGGAGCTTCCTTAACTACCATGCCACTGGTTGGCCCTAAAAATTGTTCTTTTTAATAATGTGTTTTGAATAGTTTTACAATTATTTGTGACTATTAGATTATAGCTTTGCATAGTACTAGTCTGAGAACTAATTGGCATAACAATTGCTTTTCTACTTATACAACGTATTAAACTGTAATATGCTTGCAGGAAGGCCAGATGCATATTGAAGATGCATTTTTGGAGAATGAACATACTGTTAGGGAGTTGAAGTAGGAGATAACTTACTGCAGGGTATTCTGAATCTTTTGAGTTGATGTTTACTGTAGGAAGGAAATAGAGCAAGAGTAACCGCTTCCAGTGTTTGTTTCCTTCTTTAGCTTTCCTTCCGAGATTGTTGCTGTAGCTTCTTGGCTAAAGTGAAATATAAGATGTAGAGAGTCAGGAAATATCAAGAGTAGGTACAATGAGGGGAAAGACAACACAGGGTGTGTAAAACCTTTTTGAACTTTCCCAGAATAGCTACAAAAAGTTAAAGGGCCAAATTTAACAATAGCACTAAAACTGTTGTACGTAACTGGAATATGATAAAAGAATGACTATAGGTATACTGGCTTTTTTTTTTTTTTTAACCCCATTGAGTTTTATTTTCAGTTTAAAGTTAATGTTCTTTTCTTAAATAAAGTTCTTAGGTATCTCATAAGCTGAACATGAATGAAGTGCCTTTAAACTTAACTTTGACTTGCCAGTTTAAAAAACATCGGTTCAACTGTAGTGGTGCAGATGGTAGGATGCTGCTGCACGATACTGTTGCCATATGGAAAGGTCCCAGGTTCAGATCCTAGGTTGACCAAATGTGTGTGTCCTAGGCGGAGGGGATTATGGCATAACAAGAGCTGTCAAGAGTATCTCTTTCTCTTTCTCTCCCTCACGAAGGAAAGAGAGAAAGGGAAAGAAAGGAAGGAAGGAAAATAGAGAAAGGCGGGAGGGAGAGAATTTAAAACAAAACTAAAAACCTCATTATGACAAAATAATAAACCAGAGCTACTTGTGGCTTTGAAAGCTGTAGTTTCACTGTGTAGTAAATCTATACAAAGAGAATCTAGGCTCTAAGGAATAGTTAATTACTAAAGAAGCAGAACTGTTCTAAGAATGAGATTTATAAACTGAAAAGTTATTTTTTAAAAAACATGTTCTTTTTTTTTTTTTTTGGAGAGTTTTTGCTTTAGGGCACGTGCACTCGCCAGACAGACAGAGAGAGACAGAGAGACAGAAAGCAAGAAATCACCCTCTGGGGGGCTGGTCATGCCGCAATCCCTTCTCCCCTTCTCCTCCGTTCTCCTCTCGGGATCTTGGGCACGCATGCACACATGCCCGGCATGGATTTTTAAGCCACCGGGTCCGGCTCATGAACCGCGGTCAACTACATGGGGGTCCAGCTACATAGCCATTATGCTAACTGCTGGTCCCCCAAAAAACGTATTCTTTTAGGGACCAGTGGATGGAGTAATGACTATGTCGCTGGACTCCCATATAGTCCACCGTGGTTTGAATCCCTGACCTGGTGGCTTAAACTCAAGCTGGGCTCACGTGCGACCCCAAGATCCTGAAAGGAGAATGGAGGAGAAGGGATTGCAGCATGGCCATTCCCCTCTAGGGGGCGATTTCTCACTTTCTGTCTCTCTTTCTGGCGAGCGCACACACCCTATAGCAAAAACCTCTTAAAACAAAAACAAAAAATGTATTCTTTTATTTATGTCTTCTATGTGAGAGAGAGAATGAGCGAGGGGGAAGGACTCCTCCCTCAACAACGTATTCATACTGTGCCTCCCCCCCCCCCCCCCCCAGCCAACAGGATCATAGAGCATGTGTGTGCCAGGCATCTAAAGGGACCTTGGGACAGGAACCCGTGACCTTCCCATATGGCTTCAATATTGTGAGTTGTAGTATCCCTGTTGTGCCACTGGCTGGACAACTGAAAAAAAAATTTTTTTAAAGAATTTTGCCATAGGGCAGGTGGTGCGCTCACCAAAGAGACAGAGAGAGAAGGGTGGGAAAGTGAGAACTCACTCCCAAGAGGGGATGGCCATGTCACAGTCCCTTCTCCTCCATTTTCCTAGGATTTCTGGGTGCACACACACACACACACACACACACACGGTGTGTATTTCAAACTGCTGGGTCTGAGACTCGGAACTACTATTGGCCATGTGGGATCCAATGTCCTTTACCATCAGGCCACTTGCTGACCTCTTTCTTAGCTTTTATTATAAATTTCTTTTCCCTGCCCAAGCCCCAGGCAAACACTAATCTATTTTATTTTCTGTTTTAGTTTTTTTTTTTTCTTCTTTTTTTTCCTGTAGGATATACTCTTGCCAGCGAGAGATAAAGAGAGGGAAAGAAAGAAATCACCCTCCAGGTGAGATGGCCACACCACAGTCCTTTCTCCTCCAGTCTCCTCTCAGGATTTTGGGCACTCACCATGGGTGACCGGTGTGATTCCGGACTGTGCATTGGGCCATGTGGGATCCCATGCTTTCTCCTCTGTGCCACCTGCTGGCCCCACAAATACTGATCTTTTTGTCTTCTTAGTTTTAACTTTTTCTAAAAATTTCATTTAGAGAATAATACAGTATTGTTTTATGTCTGACTTTTTTTTTTTTTTTTTTTTTTTTTTTTTTTTTTTTTTTGTGTTTTTTCTTTTTTTTTTTTTTTTTTTTTTTTTTTAGTTTTTACTATAGGGTGCTTGCATTCGTTGGAAAGATAGGGGGAGAGAGAACAAGAGAGAGAAAAAGTGAAAAATCATTTTCATCCCCATGGAGATGGCCATGCCACTGTTGCTTCTCCTCCATTCTCCTTTAAACATTTTGGGCATTCACACACACATGCCTGGTGGTTTTTCAGGCTCCTACGTCCAGGACATTTGCACAGCTGGCCTGTGGGATCCAGAGCCTTAACCACCACACCACCAGCTGGCCCAGTCTGGCTTTTTTTTACTTAGTGTAGTTTTTGGAGGTTATTTATGTTGAGTATATTAGTAGCTTACTCCTTTTTAATACCCTGAGCAGTATTGTGATTATATCACAATTTCATTTTGTTTATTCATTCACTGGTTGCTGTTCATTAAATTGTTTCCAGTTTGGGCCATTATGAATAATTATAATTATAAATGACACACAAATCTTTGTATGGACAAAGATTTTTATTCTCTTGAGTTAACATAGCATTGAAATTTGTTTTTAACTTTCTAAGAAACTGTCAAAATGTTTTCCCAAGTGACTATACCATTTTATAATCTCAGCAATATATAAGGATTGCAGATTCTCCATATCCCCACTGACACTTGGTATGATCAGTCTTTTTTTACATTGGGTTGTTGGAAAAATCATGATGTATTTTTCTATGTAAAAATGCATTGTGACTTGGGACCAGCAGATGGCGTAATGGTTATGTCACTGGACTCTCATGTAGTCAACTGTGATTCTAGTCCTGAACTCAGTGGCTTGAAACTCATGCCAGGTATGTGTGCATGCATGCTCAATATCCTGGAGGAGAAGAGATTGCAGTATGTCCATCCCTCGTGGAGGATGATGTCTCACTTTCTGTCTCTCTGTCTCTCTGGTGTACACACAAGCCCTAGCAAATATCCCTCTATCTTAAAAGAAAAAAAAAAAAAAGGCATCATGGCTTTTCCAATGATCCAATAACTTAAAAAAAAAATTGCTTGGGAACCAGCAGTTAGCGTAATGGCTATGTCACTGGACTCCCACGTAGTCAACTGCGGTTCGCGTCCCGGACCCAGTGGCTTAAAACTCACGCCGGGCACGTGTGTGTGCGTGTGCCCAAGATCCCGAGAGAAGAATGGAGGAGAGGGTATTGTGGCATAACCATCCCCCCGGGGGGTGATTTCTCGCTTTCTGTCTGTCTGTCTGTCTGTCTGGCGAGTGTACACACCCTATAGCGAAAACCTCTCCAAAGAAAAAAAAAAATTGCTTGAGGTTGCATGTACTCACCAGAGAGAGAGAGAGAGAGAGAACCTCTCTGGGACATGATCGTTCCACCATTCATTCCTTCCCCTTGATTTCTCCATCATGTTGGGATTTGGGGCTTACATGCCTTGTGTGTTTTCCAAGTCACTAGGACTAAGATTTGAACATGAATCAGCCATGTGGGTTATGGCTCCCTTAACCAGTGGACTATAGGGCTAGCCCTACATCTATTTTTGTTTGTTTGGTTTATTTCTTCCATAAAACATGCGCACACATACATACACACACACACACACCCCTTTGACAGGGTCTTGCTATGCCACGACCCCCATCTCGTAGCCAGCTAGTATGGCTGTGCAAGGGCATGCTGGGCGTGTTTGGTCAACCTGGTTTGCAGAGTTTTTACATGAATGGATGTTGGGATTTTGTCAGATGCTTTTCTGCACCTATTTTAGTGGTTCTCGAATGAGAATGATTTTGACTCTCAGCAGGTATTTGACAATTTCTAAGGTATTTTTGGTGGTCACGACTTGGGGGCAGGATGCCGCTGACATCTCATGGTACAAATAATAGCCCAGCTCATAATGTCAGTACTTCTGAAGTTGAGAAATCTTGCCCAACTGACATGAGCGTGGGGTTTTGTCTTTACTAAAGGGTATTGCATTAACTAATTTCCAGACAATCCGATTCCTGGTATGAATTCCACTTCAT